ATTCCTGTAGCAATTGGGGTCATGAGTAATTTACTTTCAATCGTTAGATTTGTATAAAAAAAAAATTCTATGTTCTACACATTTTTTCAATTTAATTTATTTTGACATGATCCAACGGTCAAAAAATTGACATTATCCGTAAATTGTCCTACCAGAAAAACTCTCTTAAAAAAATGTCAATTTTTGATGGTACATTAAATAAATTCATATTAATTTAAAAATATCAAAATAAAGAATGAAAACGTTTTTGTTTTCAATATTTTAAAACAAAGAATGAAAATGTTTTTTTTTTTTAAATGCCTTTTTGTTTCATCTTTCTTTAAAAACATGTTTTTGGTAACTACGTTTTATTTTTCTTTTTAAATTACCTATTTCTTATTTTATGCTTTAAAAAATAAAAAATAAAAAAAACATTTAGCAACTATAATTTTGTTACTTTTTTTAAACAAAAAATATATATTGAATCGCTAAACGCGACCTGCTATCGAGGTTAGCACTGAAGTTGGGTGGATGGCCTAGAATCAAGTCATCAACTCTATGGCGTTCAACATGCCAGGATGACACCAATGTTGAGCCGGAATCAAAACCAAGGTCAAACTAACAATGTTATTGGTGTTGGTGTTGGATTTGATGTTGAGGTCGGGTCAACAAGCATCATTTGGTGCCGAGATCAAGCTGACAAGTTTGCTTGTTTCATGTTAGGGTCCGTTTAGTTCGTTAATTTAAGTTTTTAATTTGAATTGAGATGTGACTTTATATGAGAGATTTTTATTGTAGTAAAAAAGTTAAATGTGACTGTTTTTAAGATATTTTTACTGTAACGAAATTCGACTCAAATCGATAAAATAGACGGAGTTTGGCGTCAAGGTCATATGAGAGCTTTTTACTATAGTAAAAAAGTTAAATGTGACTGTTTTTAAGATATTTTTACTGTAATAAAATTCGACTCAAATCGATAAAATAGACGGAATTTGACGTCAATGTCAGACTGACGAGTTGAGTGAGGTGCAAGGTCAAATGAACATGCTAAGTTATACGTTGGGGTCAAACTGACAAGGTAGGAGCCAACCCTTGCCTGTTCGTGTAACCAACATGCCTGATTTTCATAAACGACTATTGTGCTAATTACACGCCAAATTTTGTAAAAACAATAATAACACTGTCATCAAATGAGGATAGTTTGCTACTACACATTAATAAATGTAAGGGAATTTCTTTAATAAGACCTGAAAAATTGAACTATCGATAGTTCTTTACTTTTCAGTCGTTAGATTTATATCAGAAACCATCTGTTCTGCATACTTTTTTAATCTAATGTGATTTTGATAAGATATAACGATTATAAACTGATACTACTAGTAGAGAGGCATACCAGAAAAAGTTTCTAAATTTAAAGAGTAAATTGCTGAAATAAAAGTTCAAAATTAAATTGTAACTGTGGGATAAATTCAGGGTGAATGATGCAATTCAGCCAACACAAATTTTTCATATTAATTCCTGAATCTAATGTGATTACATACTATCTTAGTTATGTACACCGTGTCACAAAAGTCCCAAAAAGAAAATCAAAGAGATAAAAAAAAAAGAGGGTTAGTGGTGCCTGTTTTTCCTCTTTGCTCTTTGCCCTTTACGTTTTGTGATTAAGTTAGCTGGCACTCACTTATTTTAACCCAATCTTTTCTTATTAACCTAAGCTTTCATTGTTTGATTTGATAATACCCCATAATGCTCAACTACCTCCTTTATCTTTGGCAAAAGAAAAAAAAGAAGATATTTAGGGAAAATGTTTTGTAGTTGGTGCACAGAGTTTTGGTGCTCCTAGCTGAGGCTTTGATTAGATCACTTGGATGGAGATGGCTTTGCCAAAAAGTATGATTAATTAGCCCACCAACCACCGCCACCACAGGAAAAGCAAGGGAGAACAAAAACAAATTATAAAAGATGCACCACCAATTCTTTTTGTGGCTGAAACAGAAAAATTGATTGAAGTAGGTTATGTACCTATTTTAAATTTCAAATATCCTTGTCCTATGTGCTGGAAAGCTTACCAAATAACATGGCTTCGTTGCCCAACTCTCCTACATTTTGATCGTATGTATTATAATCATACTTATTTTTCTGTATATACACGTGTATGTAAAAAACCCACACTGAAACTGTCTTTTTGCACGTTATTTTTTTTTTTTTTGCGTGTTTATTTAATTACTCTTTAACTTATACACATAAATAAATTACTCCTGAGTATATGCGTGTATCCACTATTATTCAGATTCTGATTGTTTCATTTTTTATTAGTAAAATGTAAGCTATAAGCCCCACAAAATATTTAAAAAATCTTGTATTCTTACTCTCACTTCCTAATTTTTGTGATGGCATGATTTGATCGTAAACTTTCTATACTAATAAACTTTACCCACTTGATTAGCTCTTTTTTTTTTCCAGTTCCTATGATAAAATAAAAATTCGAGTGCTTTATCAATGATGTTACTAACAATTCTCACTAAAATAATTATAGGATAATTAACAGGTTACTTTGTAAGCACTTTAGTCTCCTCTCCTTACAAGCCACGTTTTACAGATGAGTTCTACCTAATATCTTTGTAACAATAATATATATATATATATATATAATACATCTCTACACATGCCACTTTCAAAGTTTCAAGTGCATACATCACTTTTGGCTTCCAATGATTGAAACAAAACAGGCAAAGTTGTATAAGAAATAAGTCTTTTGATCTAACCATGCAATGGACCAATGGTATACTAGTGACTTACAGAAATGAACTGAAATTAACAAATTATGATCAGCTAGTGGATATATATATGATAAGCGACCCTTGAATGAAATTAACAAAGTATATGGAGAAAATCATTGAAGATACTTTTTT